CTCTGTAGCACGAGGAAAACCGCATTGATTGCCTCGACAGAGTGTTGTACGTCGGTAACAATAGAGGGCCTGTAGTCTGCCATCATAATAGGAGGGTCTTGGGAAAAGACGAGGAATGGGAGTTTCGGCGAATTGAGCAGAGGTGACCCATATATAGCTGGCCAAGACACGGATACACACGTATGGTGATCTTCTATGTCAGATCGGGATGGAAGCTCACCGTGCACAATGCGGGTGACCGTATCCGCAGCGCGAGGAGTATAGCTTGACAGAACCTCAACACGTTCACCACGAAATGAAGATCGAGCCTGCACCTGACGATGAGGGGGAGACTGGAGATGTGTGCAACGAGGCTCGAGTGACCGAGTGGTGTAGTTGAGGTAGCGAGGCCGCTATCGAAGGCTTCAGACCGAAGATCACTGCGGAAAGTAGGAACAATTGCTTCTGTGAACGCAGAACTTTCGTCCCCACTGCCGACAACCACTTCGACACTTCGACCTACGAGTGTCTGAGCACGGTTCGTGGTACGCGATGACAGTATCGCGAGGAAAGGCGCCGTGGTTGCAGCTGAAACATTACAAATAGGTCCAGAGGAGCGTACAGGTAATGTCTCTAAAAAAGCGGGCAATGGTATGCTAGAGTGGGACGGGGTAATTGTCAATGTTCAGCGATGGATGCGATAGGACCCACCGAGAGAGTACGTACGCGAGATGAGGACGGAAACGGAGAGCATGATGCAGAGGGTAGCTTTGGCTCGTCATCCGACGGATAATCATCCCACTTTCGAAAGAACTGAGCACGGGGCATCCACATTTTGCTTGGCTATGTAGATAGTTGATTATGGACCTGGACCAAGGGTGATGGTGTTCGAGAGGGACTTACTCCACGCATCGCGTATTCCTCGAATCCGTCCTCTTCCTCTCCTGTATCCTTCTCTATGCATCGTCCATCTGAACGGAGACTTCACGGCACCGCGCACGGTTCACGTTGACCTCGATGGACATAGCTTGGACATGGAAAGAACGGTGTGTCTAGCCCGAGGGATGGCGTCCCAGATAGCAATCAAGTACTGTGTGCGCATGTTGTCAGCTTTTGACAAAGTTCAATAAATTATACAGCCTCACATCGGCGAAGCTGAACAGGTTGTTCGAAGATGCCGACGCCAAGTGCGACGGGATATTGTCCTTGTTCGGGGTGGGCACCGATCTCACGCCATTTGTTCTCAAGGTTAGAGTCCAGTCAGCTTGAGCCAGAGCGTGTATAACGACGGTAATGATGGTAAAGACAGACAGAGTCAGACATGGTGGTGAGTGAGCGGAAGATGAAGCGAAGCGCGAAGGCAGCATCCGAGTCGCACCCGCAAACGCCCGTGACTGTGCAGCATGTGCTTGCTCGTCACCTCGAACGGCGAAGAGACTACTCTGGACGTCGAGCTCGATGTCGCCAGCGCAGCGCCGAGTAGTATCGTATGTGATTCATCCACCTCCCGACCCGCAGCTTCCTCCTCGCGGCATCCCTCGCCGCTGCACACCGTCACTCCTCCGTCCGCGACGCCTCGGTGGTAACAGCATTCTCGACATCGACTGGGGATCTCATGTCTTTCTCTCGACACGTCGACGCAGCTCGTCGGCCGCGCCTCGCCCGAAAGGATCTTGTACGCCGGCGGTCGCAAAGCGCGATGGACTCGCTAGCTCCTGGGACTTGGGCATCCCCGCGAAGCGTTGCGCGCAGCGATACGGAGAGACTGTGTAGAGTTTGCGGCGCTGGGAAGACATGAAGACCTGGGCAGACAACATCATCGAGGAGGAGGAGGGTCACAGGCAAGGCGCGGCGCAAGATACCCCGAGACAGCGCGATGCCCTACGAGGAGCAGTGGGAGATGGACATGAACGCTTGTCGTGCTCTCAAGGTACGTCTCATCCACCACATGTCTCTGCGATTCTGCACAATCAGTTCCTGCGCCGGAGAACGTCCGAGCAACATTGTACATCGTCCTCCGGCTCTTGGCGTAATCATCCGCACGTATCCACCGAGGCGTTCCTCTCCCAGATCTACGTTGCGTTGCATGTTCAATTACCACGACCTTGTTCGTGCTGAGTCGAGATGAGAGGATACGGTGTGAGCATATGAACGAGGACGCTCCTCGACTCTGCCTGATGTGATCCAGTCCATGACTCGCACACATCGGAGCACCCTATCCTGTATGTTGATGTATCAGTATTGTGTCGTTTCCATCCGGACTGTCGTGTCTCTGTGAGCTTACCGGTTCTCTTCCCCAGTCTCAACCACCAACGACGCCGTCTGCCAAGCCGTCCAGATGCACCTCGACTGGATCAACGATATATCAATCAAACCCGTGCGTGCATCCGTTCTCTACTGGTGTGCATGGCTAATAGGACGTTCTAGTCGTATCAGCTTCATCCGACGGTAGACCAAAGGCTTGGTGTGCAAGGTCGAAGTGGAGAGCTGCGCAGACGTATCCGAGGGCGAGTGTGTGGTTCTCTGCTAGGACTCTGGACCAGACGTAGCAGGCACCTTTGGTTCAGAAAGTATGAACAACATCGTCGCTATGGACAGCAAGATCCTCTGGACGGTTTCGGAAAGCCCTAGCATCAAGCGCTGTCAGGTTCGGGCACGGCGAACTGTACGAGCCGCCGCGCTCAGTGCAGAGGGTACCTCTGATAGTCCAGTCTCATCTCCGCCCCCCATCGAGTCTGCACGGGACTACTACATGCAGCGGAAGCCCGACTCGCTCGACCTCTCTGGCTCCCGTGCGAAGTCGCCAATGCGGTCAACGTCTGTCATCCGGGAAGGGAGCACTCTAACATCCCAGGCGCATCGCATCTCACTCACGTCATGACTGGCACCGCCATTGCTGACCTTGAGATCGGCCCTGGCCTCGAGGGCGAGCAGACCTGGTACGGTATCCCCCTCGAGAGCTCCGTCCGCCGGACATCGCCCAAGCACGCCAGATTCGGCGAGATGCTCGCTGCAGACGCGACATCGTACTCGACCGCTTCGCGGAGCCTCACACGGAGCAATACGATCCACTCGTACACGCGCCCCGAAGAGAGCATGATTGTCCAGGCGACCCCGCGGTCACGGGCTGTGTATGTATGACGTGAGGAGGTCGCTGCCGACGCGATCCCCCCTGCGGCTGCAATCGGACACGAACTCGTCTTCTGTGTGCTGCCGAACGACCGCACGCATGCGCTCACTGTCGAGAGGTCGCCATGAGACGTTGTCCGTGCAGTATGCTTCGGTCGGTTCCCGTGCAAGGAGATTGCAGCAGCGCGCTTCTGTGGGAGTGTCCAGGGCCTGAGTGGGGTGGGTGGGAGTGCGGACGATAGGAGGACGGAGAAGTGGTCGTCGATACGAAGACAGGTGTCCTGACTGTGCATCTGAATAAGAAGTGCCTCGAGGCGTTGATCTACACGGACGAGGCTGGGTACGGTCCAGAGAGGCAGTTCAGTGAGGAAGTACGATGTGAGTGAGGCTTTGCATGCCGCTTCGCTTGTTACTGATGTCCTATGCTAGTGAACATCAGCGTTTGGGTCCTGCGAAGGCTCTTCTATGGCTTCATTCGCGAAGAACAGCGCCAAGCCGCTCGTCGCGCCCACGACCGCGAGCACAATGGACACTACTCGTCCTCGCCACACCGTCCCCAAGCGCGGTAGTGTGCCAACATGCATCGACATCAACGTTGCCAGCTCGACTCCAAATCCTCGACACTGCTCCTCGTCAGGCGTCTCTGCGCGCCGCGCGACCCCGCAGCGCAACCATCATCTTATCTCCCAACATGCTTCCTGCAGTGACCAGTCTCCCCTTCGATCTCTCGCACCTCGCTCATGATGCCCATGATCCCGCTACACGGTGGCCTCCGCGACTCCGCTTTGTCTCTCATCCCTCTGTCATCGAGCACCACAGAAGCGACACCTCTGCCTCGTGGAAGCAGAGAGGTGCACAAGGCTGAGATGCTATCTGGCCCGCCTTCGGGCACGTCCACGAGCGACCACTTCTCCCTGCGCACGAGGCGATCGTTGGTCTCGGCTTCAACTGCACCCACGCCAGACGACTTCTCGGGATGGGGAGGCAAGCCGGCTGCGCTCTCGACACCCGCCCCGGAGACGCCGAGTACGCCCAGCGTAGGCAGTCTCATGGGTCGACTCAAGGCATTCAGCAAGAGCACTAGACGAGCAGCAAGTATGAGGCCAAGGACTGGCAGGGACTGGCCGACGAATTGTGGGCTTGCGCACCTCCATGATCGGTCTCGCTGGGCCTGCTCTCCATGTCCGCGGCCAGATTAGACATTGACAGAGTCCTTCGCGACGGTGTCCGCGTCGGCACACATGCGCGCGACCTCTGGAGCAGCAAAGAGGTGATTGGTCCGGACGGGCGGACAAGGAGATGCGCTTGAGCGAGCAAAAGAGTAGTCAGCAGGACGTACTTGAGTAGGCCAGCAAGTGGACAGGGAGACGGGGAGAGGAAAAGATGGGCAGGTGAGTAGACGGGAAAAAAGGCAGACGTGCAGATGTGCAGATGGAAGGAGGGGTGAACGAGCTTGAGTCGGACATGCAGCAGACGGACAGAAGATGGATGCGGACGGACGGACGGACGGACGGACGGACGGATGCGCAGACTTCCCTCGTTGTGCGAGAGTCCGTGACAGGCTCACGAATGGGCATAGTTCGACTGCTCTCCATGCTACTGGAGCTTGAAGGCTTGAAGGCCAAAGACATTGGTGTACGTGCAGCGGAGTTGCAGTGGCCGGAGCGCGGAGTGTCGTCGCGGAGCGATACTTACGTGGATGTATGTCGCGCTGCGGTAGCGTCCGGGTTTGTCTGCGCAACGGAGAGGGAACTTACTGTACTGGAGATGGGATGAAGAGAAAGGCGGCGAGACGAGAGAATCGAGAGCGGCGAGTTGGACTCGGATTGCCTACATACCGCTGGCAAGCAAGGAGGGAGATACATGTTATGTATAAATGCCTATTCTACGTGTGCCCCGTGGCTGAGTTGGTTACAGCGTCCGACTGTTACACCAGGTTCGCAGGTCTACTTCAATCGGAAGGTCGTGAGTTCGAGCCTCACCGGGGCAGCTATGAACCTATCAGCCGTGCTTTTGCCATCAGGTCTGCCCCAAGTTACAGTTTTCCTCCGTGGACACGCACGCGTTCGGGTTCGCAAAGCCTTGGCAAGTTCAGCCATACAGAGCAGCGTCTCTTCCCTGGGTCCAGGCTATTTCCTAGCTTTCACCCGCTCTTTGGGTCTATTACATGAAACGCGAGACCCGGGCATACAGCGATAGCGCGACATGCGCAGAAGAAGAGGGTCGTTCAACACTCTACGCGACAGCGACAGCGACTCGGATGAGTGAGAGCATCAGGCTGCGAAGCGTTAGTACAGCGCTGGTTGCTTGGCCCATGATCCTCGACCGTCGACCGCGTCAACTCACTTCGCTCAGCCCAGCCCGACCTTCTCCGGATCTGCTTGTGGGACGGATGGATGAGGATAGCAGGCTGAGGGATGGCCGCGTTCGACTCGACTCGAGACTCGGTCACTCGGACATATGTGCTCGAGTACAACGGATAGCGCGACATCGGCTCGGGTTCAGCGAGAACGTTCAAAGCAAAAGCTTTTGTTGGGTCACGGGTGCTTCATCCGTGCGGTGCCATCCCGGTCGGCGTTGCAAACGCGCAAACTTACAGCCCGGAAATAGGTATACCGTATTACTCACCTCCGAGGAGAGACTTGGCCATTTTCTGGGCCACATGGTATGGAACGAACGAGGTGGACCGTGGATTGGGCCTTGGGGAGCAATGGAATGGCCGGCGAGACGAGAGGTTGCAGCCCCGGGCGACGAGTGCGGCGTTGCAGCTGGTGATACGGTGAGCAGAGAGGTATTATTCTAAGCAAGTCGGGTATGCTATGTACACGGACACCTAGAGGCACAAAGCACAGAAGAGGAGGTCAGTGCACAACGCAACAAAGACATAGCGCAAAACTTTGCTCACGTCAAGTGCATAGAGTCCCAGTCGTCATCCAGGTTTTACTCAGACCCATCGAGCACGGACGGGTGACCAACCATGCCCCTCATACCTACGACGGCTTCCCGCTCTTCTCAACCCGCACCCGCGCCTGCTCCAGCGCTCTATACATGCCCGCCGCGAAGCTCGTGCTCTCCTCGAAGTCGCCGAGCTCGGCCTGGAGTGCCTGCTGGAGCTCTGGCACCGCGTTTCTCGTCAAGAGGAGCCCGCCCGTGTCCGTGTCCGTGTCCGAGTTTGAGTGTGCTTGTGAGTCGGGGCGTGCGTGTGCTTCCGAGCGCGAGGCTGCGGGGGCGTACTTGGCGTAGATGGCGTCGAGCTGCGGGCTCGGGGCGGGCTGGATCGCGCCGCGCTTCAGGAGCGCGTCGAGGTACGAGGATGCGGAGTATGCTGTTGAGTGTAAATATAGACACATGTACGCACAAGGAGCGAGGGACGTACCGCGGTAGTGCGACCATGCGCGCCACGCGCAGAAGAAGAACGGGAAGTTCGGGATGATTGCTGCAGGTGGAGACCGGTGCGTCAGCGTGCTTCGCGTTGCCGTGCGAATAGCGAGGTGCAGAAGGAAGACCGAAAAGAGAGCGAGACGTACGGATGAGCTTGAGCGGGAAGGTGAGCGGGGTGACCGCGAGCCAGGTGTAGAGGCCTTTCCTGTGGCGGGGCCCGCGCGAAGAGAGGAGCGTGTGCAGGTGCTCGATGGGAGAGTCGAGTGCGGAGGGCGGGTAGAGTAACTTGGTCTGGTGTGCGCGTAGGGGAGTTCAGGCTGCGTCGACGCGGAGTTGGGAAAGCACGTACCGTTGGGGTGTCGTGAGGTTTTGTGCGGGTGCGGGGGATGATGCTCGAGAGCTTGGGACCGAGGGAGGGATCGAGCGAGCGGAGGGCGAGCTCTTCGAAGTCGAGGCGGTCTGCTATGCGTTCCCCATAGAGGAATGCTCTCCGCTGCAGAACGCATCCGTCAGTGAAAATCAATACGCAAAAACAAGCGCGAAAACTAAAGACCGACATAGTGGGCGAAGACGGATGCAGCGGAGGGGGGCCGGGAAACCAAGACTTGGAGTAGTACTCACCTTCCATGACCCCTCATCGGCCTTCCCAAACCCAGCCCACACATCCAACGCCTTCGCAACAGCGCGGTTCGTCAGCGAGTCAGCGTTCTTGCCCCCTTCTGCTGGGGGATTGACGAAGTGGTAGTACGTGAAGTGGTGCGGGGCGCGGGTGAGCGGGAGGGCGATGATGCGCAGGGAACGCGGGACGCGTAGAGCGACGGTGGCTGCCGCGCTGGTCATCGCGCGACCACGTCAGGGGATGGTTGTAGTGTTGTGATGGTGGATAGACTCGAGGGAGGGGAATATTGAATGGTGGTAGTGCTTACAGTAGCCGTGTTTGTGGACGCGCGGCGCGGCGGCATGGGTCATGGCCTTCGAGCTGGACGCGTGTTGGCCTCTCTCAGGATTCCGGGCTTCCATTTCAGAGCTGCAGGGCTTATGATTGCTAAGAGTGACCTTGGGTCGCAATCAAGACAAGGAGAGCCGGTCAGCGAGTAGTGAGTATAGCGTACCGAGCGGGCCCCCAAGCCTCAAGAGCTCATCCTCAAGAATACGACGCAGTTACCCACTGAAAGTCGATATCATCGCAACGTTGGAGATATATGCTACGTAAGTCCTTGAGCAGTAGAATCTTAAGGACGGTTGGGATGTTGCGAGTCTGTCAGGGTCCACGCGATTGATAGGGTAGTGGAAGAGTAAGACAAATCTGAGCACATGCGCTAGACGCCTCCTCCCGCTTGAACCGCAACGTCCACTTAAAGTTAAACCACAATTTTGTGAGTCTGGCTGCCGGCTCACTAGCCTGCTCATCGTTGTGCACCTCTGACAAGTATTTCTGCCTAGGTATGTCCGGTATTCGCAAGGCCCTAGTGCCAGGTCACATCTCGCCGCTCGCGCGATCGGCGTGCGCACTGTCCAAAGCTCGAATACATGTCTCATTCAAGATGTCTTCGACCCCAACTGAACGCCGACAGGGTGATTCCAGAGGCTGACGTTTAGGTAGCAAGTCGAGCAGAGATGCGTATCGCACTTGACTCGGTTGAAGAACAGGTCATGTTGTACGAACTTCAAGGGGAGGGCACAGGAACGTACTCATACTTGCATAGATTCATCTTCAACCGCCATCAAGCATAATATCAGCGGCATCCATGGCTACTCGGACCTCAGTGCACCCTATGCCTCTGCTCCGACAGGCGAGATAGGAGTTTACTGTCAGGACCTCTACCCCGTCGTGAAACTGCTGCACGAGGTCCGTTGCCGCGCAACAACGTCGGCTTCCTACTGACTAATGACTATCTACTAGTGGTAGTACCGCCAGTACAGCACGTTTATCAAGGCGGTCTCTGGAGAACGCAACAGACGGTAGGGTTATCCGAAGTCGCTTCCCTGCGCAACCCTTCACCCCGAGATCCTGTCCTCCCTGTCCTCCCTCCCATCCGTCTCGATCGACGCTGGCGAACGTGAGCACCAACCCGTGCCGGCCCTCAGGCTGCCAGGCCGCGAATCAGGGTATCTCTGGTGGTGTTCGCTCAGACGTTATTCCTCTCGTGAACGTCATCGATGATGTCGCGCGCACCCCGCATATCTGGGGTTCGCAAGACCGAGACTGCGCGATTGAGCGGGGAAGAGGGCGAGGTCGAGGCGACGACGCGGATCGGATTCCCGAGGTGGTAGGCTGACGATAGCGTAGACAGAGGACGCGCCAGGTGAGTTCCGCCACGCCCTGCCCGTGCCAGTTGCTCAGTAGTGACATGTTCTTTGCGCAGGGCGGCAGGATCTGTAGACGAGCACCGAGTCCGCCGCACCTGGAGTGTGTGCATGCCAGTGCCATCTTGGAGCTGCAGGACGTTGTCCGCAGGCGCATCCTTTGTCCCCCAGTGCTGTCTTCCGACAGGCTTCGTCCGCTATAAAGTTCGACAACGAGATGCTCCGGGAGCAAGTGCGGCGTCTGCAGAAGCGGGTTGCCACCCTCGAAGATGACATCCATCGAGGACACCCGCGCGACGAACGAGCGCGAGGATGCCGCAGTGCACGACCATATCAAGCGGTGCAAGGAGCAGGAGACGGACGGAAGGAGACCGACCTTGTACGCAAATCGGAGGAGAGCGCATGTTTTTGTATCGAGGAGCTCGAGAAGACTATCCGGGAGAAAACCGTTGCGCTCGAGAACGCACGAGCGGAATTGCTGTGAGTGCTCTGTTGTCCGAATATCGTGAATTATTAGTGGCTCATCAGATTCACTATGCGGTACAGGACCTTGACTGGCTGCGGTCGCCACGAACGCCTCTTCCGACAAGCTCAACGTGCTGACTCCGCGGGCGAGCGTGCACGGTTCCAGGAGGAGATTGCGGAGCTCAAGCAACACCTCGCGCAGTCCAAGGCGCAGTCATCCGGCGGTAACGTGCGTCCCCTCGAGGACAAGCTCCACTCGCACCAGGAAGACCTGAGGGAGACGGTAAGCTTCCGATCCCATCAATATGCCTAGTTCGACATGACACTGACTTGTCTATCAGCTTCGAGCCAACAACCGCTGAAGCGAACGCAGGCTGAGCTTGCGGACGAGCGTGCTATCGTCGAGGACCTGCGGGCTCTTGCCGACGAACACACCCCCAAGTTGGATACCATCCGCAAGAACTTGCTCAACCGCGAAGGCTCCGTCAACGGGAATGAGCTCAAGATGCCCGCTGCTCCGTCCTCCCAACATGATCTCTCCGTCGCTCGGGATGAGATCACCGGCCTCAAAAGTGCCTATAGCTCCCTTTGCTTACAGGTGCTCGAGTCCGAGAGCAAGCTCTCGTTCTCGGAGACGGAGCAACTCCGCAAGGTGGGTATTGCTGTGTGGTATATTGTACCTAACTCGATCTTAATGCTGCACAGCAGCTCAAGGTTCTCGAAGAAGACGTGGAGCGGAGTCTTGCGCGCAAGGAAAGGCGAGAACTCGCCGTCGACGCCTGTAACGCCTTCATCGGATGGCATTCAGGCGCCGCAGCGCAGTCGCAAGAATTTCAA